TCCTGTTGTTCTGCTCACCTTCTGCTTCACCCATTTAACAAGCCAACTTTTCCATAGTTGAAAGGACTCTCGCCTTTACAAAATTAGTAGGGCTGCTCACTTCTGATGTAAGAAAAGATACTGGAATTCTTTTTCCCCTGGAAATATGTTATCTAAGGATTCCTCACATAGAATTCTGAGTGAGGAGTCCTGGTATGGCACTGTAGGATAAGCATTGGATTGCTAACTATAAGGTCAGTGGTTCAAACCTACCAGCAACTCCTCAGAAACCCCATACAGGACCTTTCAACGGCATACAACAATAGCACTAACCACAGAAGGTTAAGTGACTATCCCTGTGTGACCTCGCAATCTGAGTTTATGCTAAACTTAATCTGCAGATCAAGTGGGATTTTTGTATCCCCCTCATTTTTCACTTTGAGAATCTAATAAAAGTATGGGTTACCATGCGTCAGAAATAACTCAACAGCAGTGGGTTTGGATTATTTCATTTGCTTGATTTTTGGTTTAGATATTTGCCCAGAAGGTATGAGGACAGAAGTTTGCTTCTGATTGATAAAAGTTGTAACTTTTTTCTATTTGGTTAAGGAAGCCTGGTGATATAGTGGGTTAAGCACTGGGATTCTAACCAAAAGGTCAATGGTTCAAATGTACCAGTCACTCTGCAGGTGAGAGATGAGGCTGGATGCTCCTGTAAAGATTTACAATCTCAGAAACCCTAGAAAGTTGTTCTACCTTGTCCTATCACATCACTATGAGTCGAAATTGACTCACCTGGGAGCGGGTTTTGGGATATGCTGTGAGGGTTTTCCCCATTCTGTTGCAGTCAGGTGCTTTACAAATCCTTCTTAAAAAATTAAATAATCCACTGCCATAAAGTCAATTCCAACTCATAGTGACCCTTGTTGTTAAGTGCCATTTAATTGGCTCCAACTCATAGTGACCCTGCATAGGGTCCCCAAGGAGTGATTAGTGGGTTTGAACTGACAGCCTTGTGGTTAGCAGTCTGGTACTTACCCTACAGTGCCACACCAGGACTCCATAGTGACCCTTGTTGATGTTACTCTTACTGTTATGTACCATCAAGTCCGTTCTGACTAACAGTGACCCTACATAAGGTTTCCATGGAGCAAGTGGTGGGTTTGACCTGCTGACATTGTGGTCCTCAGTCCAGTGTGATCCAACAGGGAGTCACAGTTATACTTTGGTGGTGCTGGTGGTGGTG